CTTTCGGCAATTATACAAATTGATTTCTGGTTCATGTTTAAATTCGTTTTTTCATTTACTAATTAAAGATTCGTAATGCTGACAAAACAAAAATTAAAGATTCGTAATATTATTTTGGTCAAACAAATAAAATTTTAGTTAATAATTACTTGTTGGAATGTTTCGATAATCTTGACTATTTTTCTTTCTGTTTTTACAGGTGAAAATTAGATTATAGGGAAGTTATGAAATTTACATTGACCATTAGACTAATTCGGTCAACAACAAACAAATAGACCGATGGAAGCGAAAAACAGACAAACTCTATGTTAGGTTTTTTTCTGTTCTCATGAAATTCCTTAAATCACAAGCTACAAACCCTAAACTTATCTTTTGCAACAAGTCATCATCAGTTCCTTCTTCATTTATTTCTTAAAATTTTCAACATTGATACACAATCTAATGGCGAAAGATAAAGAAGAACAAAACAGAGAAAATTCTTCATCATGTTTCAAGAATCTCTCTTTCCCATTCAACACTACTTTCTTGATTTCAAACGCGATCTTCCTCGTTACATGCGCATTCTGGTTCGTTACCGTCGTAACATTACATTACAAAACCGATGAATGTAATCGGTTTGTGACAACTCCCGGAATCTTCGTAAGCTTCTCATTACTCGTAATGTGTCTCACCGGATTCTACGCTGCTTACTACAAGTCCGATTGTCTATTCCGAATCCACTTCTTCATCTTTTTCTTGTGGATGTTCGTGGTCGTGGCTAAAGCTGTCTTCGTTTACTGTCTCCATAAGGAAACTCACCCTAGGTTGTTTCCTGGGACAAAGATCCATGAGTATAGGTTTGAGGATTACTCGGGATGGGTTCGTAGATTGGTTATCAAAGAAGATGAATGGTATCGTATAAGGAGATGTCTTGTTAAGGACAATTTTTGTAACAAGTTGTTCTCTAACCAAAACATGTCGGCTTCTGAGTTTTATCAAATGAATCTAACTCCTATACAGGTACGTAAGCTATTCATATCAATGGTTCAATTTTTAGAGAGTATAGTTACAATTAAAATAAAATTATAGCTAGCAATTGTGGAC